GATAACGGTACTATGTATATTTTATATCATGTATCATCTATGTAAACAATCTTTGGATTATCAAAGTCTGTATATTCTTTATCGTTGCACAGGACTATACTAATCCCTCCTGTGTTTTGTTTAATATTTTTATTTATCAATATTAAAATCAAGTTGTAACAATCATAGAGCTTAATATTAATACTTCTTTTTGTATCGTTTATCAAATTTATAACTTTCCACACATAAAATATATGTATATATTTATACGAATCATTTTTTGAAATATTTTAATAAAATATATTTCAGAAATATTGTATAAATATATATTACTGTAAAAAAAAGAATATTTGAAAAACTAATTTTCTGGACATAGGTATTTATATTTTAAAAAGATTTCATGAAAACTTCTGAAATATTTCAAATCTTGCATGAAATATTTTACAAAATATTTCTGAAATATTTCATGCTGCATGGATTAAATATTTTACATTACTTATACATAATGTAAACGCAAACAATACGTGCTTAACGTAAACAACACGTAAAATTTCTATGTAAACATAAATTTTGAAATATGATACAACCCTGATCCGGTTCTTCGAGTCCGGCGAGGAGAACCTGATCTTTCCTATGTCAGTGTCTGTAGGTGTCTGAACGGTGGACAGGGCGATTTAGGACCTAGTGGGGGATATGATATGCGGGTGAACCTCGTAATCGGTAAACGTATACGCCTGGCGATCGCGCAGAATGTAGATATAATAATAAAACGACGAGGGACGCGCGTAGAAACCGCGCGTTCTCGTTCTCTGCGCATGTGCCGTTAGGCCGAAGAGTGGGAGGATCGAAGGGATATATCTCGGAATAGAGGAAGTGCTCTCGTGGTTCCGAGTGTTCCGACGTGACTGGACGTGACCTTAAAGCAAATCGGAGGAAGCGGTGTATAGTGTGCACGAGTCACGTCGTCTCACGTCCAGTTCTCGTTTTCGAGGGACGTGCAGGATTCACCTCATCGCGCGAGGACTCGTCGCCGCGGCGGAGTGATGCGCGCTGCGAGGAACGCGAGGGGACGGTCTCTGACGATCGACGAGATTGTTGTTTACATTCCTCTCCAAGTGCATTCTCGCGGGACCGCCATATAGGGAAACCACCTTGCTTCCGCGTACATGTTGCGTGTCTTTCTCGAAGGACTTATTCTGAATCGCTCAAGTGGCATAACACTCTGGCGTGTCGACGAAGAAGGTATTATGGACCATCTGGGAAGGTATCGATAGAATCAAAGTGCTTCCTTCAGCTCCGAGAAAGTAAATTGCTGCCTGCTGGACCGTTGATTCACGTTGATCCAATTTAAGCTGTGGTACTGTAAGAAATATGTAAATTAAGCAGTGAATGTCGCCCTCGTTGTGTGGCTTACAGTTATAGTGACAAAGCGGCTGTCTATATAATAGAAGGAATTCTTATATCAGGCACCAGATTTTCGAATTTCAACACCGCCAGGAATGCCTTGGTAATTTTTCTCATATTTCATACAGATATGGCTTGCCTTAGGAGGGTCTTTTAATGGGTCGGAAATTCAAAAGGAGATAAGAAAAAGAAAGATACCGAAGATAGTACCGGCCGCAAACACATCATTCGAATGTATATCTTCCGAGATTCTTAAAATTCCTCAGAGACTCATGAACGACAGCTACGTTTTTTTTCCGACAGAAATGATTTACAAACAACTGAGAGACTGAAGATTTCAAGACGCGGGGAGTTTTTCTTCTCGAGGAAGCTAAATTGGATCATCTGATCCACTTTTGATTTACCACTCACGATACTGTGATCCTTCTAGGTGGTTCAGAAGTCTATCCAGGAGAATAAAAAGAAGAAGACCTAAGGGTCTGGTTCTAAGAGTACTTAATTCGAATGTGGGTGGAAAGAGGTGATCTATTACGATCTGATTTCCATGGAAGCTCTCGCGAAGCGACGAAGATGTGACATATCATCCTGGACGACGAACGTTGTAACGTTGTAAGAGAAAGAAAAAAAGAAAAATGGTACACGCAGCAGTCGTGGTTCTCGCTTTGGTCTCCATCAGTGTATCCGCCTACGAGCATACCGCCGCGGATCAGTGCGACTGGTCCGGAAGGTTTGTATTTTTCACCGTAACACACAGTCTCTCTCCCTCTCTCTCTCTCACTCTCTCTTTCTCTCTCTGCGTTTCACGAACTTTCACGTCAGTGCCGTAACAAGCGCGTGGCTGATGTGACTTAAAAAATCGCCGGCTGTGTAGTCAGACATAAATCGCTTCACTTCAATTTTTTAACACCAATCATTTGCTTTGATGTTTGCTACGAAATTTCCTGATAATTGCAGATCCAGTGTATTTTAAATAAATGTATCGTTGTTTGAAGTTATAAAAAGATTGAACGTGGATTTTTTCATTTTGCAAGTCAAAATTCAAGGAATAATATTATGTAACTGAAATTGTGTAAAGTTATGAAAAACAATTGTTACAATATTAGTGAAAAAAGCCAAGGTCTATTGAACTTGTGGATACGAATAGGAATACTTTTTATTAATAATATAAAATATTATGAGAGAGAGAGAGAGAGAGAGAGAGAGAGATTTATGTTCAATATAATTTCAACATTTTCAATTAAACATATTGCAGAGTATCAATATGAGTCATTCTTTCCTTTCTCTATAATTTCAAATGATTAACATTATTTCTCCTTATTTCTTATTGTAATACATTTAGAAAAATAGATGTATTAATTGAAATGTAAATACTTTTCACAGCGGAGGAGAAAGCGGTGGTGTCCGACCGGTGTACTTGCGCTGTGCTCGCGGAACGATATTATGGCGCTATCCTCATGATGCTTTGAGAGTGGTCCTTTCCTCCCCGGTCTCATTCTTGGAGAACAATTCTCTCAGCTATCTGGGTTTCCGTGCCTGCGTCAAAATCTCTGGGCCTGTGCGGGTCTTTCTGGAAGCTGGCGGCAAGCTGAGACAACTCTATTCTCCTTCCGATGGCAAGCACGAACTTACACACCGGTGCTTTCGCTCGTGGAAGCATACAGCCGCACTTTATATGGAAGCTGAGGATGATTATTCCTTCAAAAACACTAAGGTCAAGCTGCAATACGATCTGGAGCCGAATTCTGTGAAGAGGGGAACACTTCGCATGCCGGATGAAGAGGAGGATTGTAGACCTTGCTCCATGGAGGAACTCGCTAAGGCTTACTGTCAAAGCGACTTGGTTGCTAAAGGCACTGTCACTGATGTCGAACAGAATCCTAAGATGGATACGGCTGAACTGATACTTAGGGTCACCAAGATCCTGCGCTACGTAACCCAGGAAGCTGAGGTAAAACTTTATAAGATAATATATACTTTGATTTTTCTGTCACGCTTAAAGCTTTTGTGTAAGTTAATTACAAAATACTTCAAAATACAACAAATTATTACAGGGCAATGAAATTGACGCGTCTTTTAAGAAGAGCGTGCGTGTGCGAATACCAATGGTATGTGATGCGCGGCACGGCCTCGGTGAATTTGTGATAATGGCCAAACGACGTCTCGGAGATCTCACCTTGGTATGCGCGCCTCGATTGGAGGCGTGGATGCAAATTGTACATGAAATGGACAATGCGCCCTGCGTCCTTCATAGTTAGCTAATGAGATTTAAGATGATTTTCTTTAGAAAGTTGTAAAGAAATGTACACGATACATAATAGATAAGAATGCAGTATCGTGTTACGAAATTGGAAATCAACGCAATCATTAAAAGAGTAATACCGTATAAAAAACTGTCCGTCTATAGCCGTTTGTACAAGGATATCGTGTATATAGGGAATATCATTCTTTGTGTACATACTGCATACTGTCAGATTGTCGATCTCCAAACTGTGATATTATTTGTTGTATTAAAAAGAACATGGAAGAACGTGCACGAAGAAACGGAAAGCACATTTGCCTTATAACTTGTTCTAGAGATTAGAAAAATCATTATGTATAGAATATCCCAGACATCGCTCACTCTTTCTCTTGAAAATTCCTTTTCGTAATTCTTATTTTCTCTCTTTTTCTTATCCTATTTCACATCATTTTCTCGTTTTATATTTTATAACGTACTAAAATTTCGTTGAAATCAAATATACTTAAGATTATGCAAATAAAGGTTTTGTTATGTATTTGTGTTCCTCTTGAAGCTTGAATCTTTTCCATTCCTCTGTAATTTTATTACGAATGTCTGAGTCTTCAAATTGATGTAGGAGCAACATTCTGTTAGAATTTATTACCAAGAGAAAGTGTGCAGTGATTAAAAATATTAGGTATATTGCAATTTTATTGGGCGAGTACATGGACTCGCTGCAGAGTTGAGCATATTTTGTTTATATTCATACAATATTATATAACAATTTTGTATAGATTTACTAAAAGTATTTTATATGAATTCCAACCGGAATAGCTGTTCTTATCAAAATACTATATATGTGCGACAATAATAAAGAAGATATTTGGAAAAAATTATGCATTTCTGTCCATATTCTATACCTCTAATATAGAAAATGTGTGCATAATAAAAACAATTGTCTATAACACTTGTCTATCGATTGATAGATGAAGAGAGTCATATAATTTATAATATTTATACAATAATTGAGCGTTCATATATTCACACGATAGTTTCAAAATATACCGGTACTCTTAGTTTATCTAGGAAAGAATTTCTAGAAGAGAAAGAGAGAAAGAGGGAAACAGTTGGTAATGTACAATAATTTATTTCTGCAAAAACTGTTTTAATATACCTCTGTGATTTAATTCTGGAACCATGCGAGATCGATTACGGTACGGGTCTCAAACAGAACATCGTTTGAAAAACTTTTATAAAATATATTTGCTTTATTGCAATTAGTTTTATATTTAAACGTATGAGAATTGGCCTTTTTGATATAATTTGTCATATATTTTGATATAAAAAGATTTCCGTGTATTTAAAAATATCAGTGGTACTCTACCGTAACGAAATCACATCGTGGCTACAGAATTTAATCTATATATAATCTCCCTGAGACACGCAAATACACAAACGCGCACGTATATATTTGTATAGTATCAAACAAAATAACACAGCTCACAGGTCAAGCTGGCTAGTAGATACAAACTGTACTCGATTATATATTAATGAACATTTTGCTTTCTCTTTGCTAGTGTCGTTGAATGAGTAGAGTAATTCACTCAGCCGATCAATCAGAGACAGAGGAGAATAAATCTTTCTGCTACATTCGTTGAAAAGCCATTGACTATAAGTTTCTTGATTCGCAACGGACTACGGAGAAATAAAATTTACATATTTATTTGTAAACTGAGCGCACAATTAATACTTTAGACTGTATTTTTAAAATCTGTGCGATCATCATTCTACTATTCTTGATAAAGGTAATTAATACGTTATATCATAATTTCTTTTCTTATTTCATTTTACCAATTGCAACATCATTTAGGTTACAAACCTAACTATTAAATGATAATAAATCTAATTACGATGACGCAAAAATCGCCTCACGTTTTTTAACTTGTTTCATATATATGTATTTTTTTTATTTTGATAATTTTGCCCTAATTTTATTTGCTCAAATTCAATGATTATTTAAATTTTACTGTAACTTAATTATTTTATAATTTTAATATTAATTTAACAAAATATTTCGCATCAGCTGCCTATTAAATGACTAATTCAACGATCACACTGACGCGTATCCTTCTTTCCTCTTTTTGGCGCAGCATCAATTTCACTCGATTTACAAATGTTTACACTATCTGACTAAACAAAATAAACAGCGAGGTTTACACTTCACATTAATTACTTTTCTCCCTGTACACCTTTTTCGCTCATCAGATTTTTTTTACATATTCTAATAAAAATAATGCTCACTCGTATTATAAACTTCGTCTCTCTTGCCTTCCTTTTCCTTGAATTTTATAAATGTAAAATAACACATGTAAGAATGTATAAGAATATATCACAATAATTCCTCCCACTTCCTTTTAGATGCTAAATATGGCTAATAAATAGTATTTTTTGCGACAAATAACATAATGATAATAATATTAAAAAATCATGTAAAAACAGTTTAAACTACATTGTTGTCTAAGTCTCTTCGTTTTTTTTTTCGCAAGTTTCTATTTAATTTAAATAAATCATTATATTGAAGAAAAATATATCATTTTTCGATTAACATGCGACAGTGAACACTTTCACAAAATATACAAAAAAAAAACGAAAAGATATAAAAGTTGTAAAAGGAGACTATTTTTTGGCCGGCGCAAGATTCGTTTACGTGGTAAAGGGATAATTTGGGCAGAGTGGCAGGACCAGATCGTCCATATTTGGTAGAACGACTAGTTTCTCGAACTCCCTGAGCAGCTTATTCTCGATCCATTTACTCACATATACAATGTTGACAGTCCTTTCGCCGAGAGTTGGTTGCACATTGAGACCAATCTTCGGCACTGATTTGAAACCGTACCAGAGCCGATCAGAGGGCGGCGGAGGGATATTTAATAAGAGACAACCCTCTATGCCGGATACGCTAACCATAAAACGGATCTCCGTGTTGGAAACACCCTCCATTGCCCTCCGTACGTATGACAACTCCGTAGCCTATGATAGAAAAGATGTATTCGTTTAATTGGTGAGCGCCTATAACTGTTTTCGCAATTATTAATGAGATCAATAGGCTATCTAAACATAATTAAGTGTTACTTACGTGTCGGAAATATTTGTTGGCTGCCAGTTTATCGACCATACTAAGAAACTTCTTACCAGAAGACTGTACTGGTCTATAATATGAGAAGATCTATGAATTGGTCTACAACTTCATCGTAATACTTTTATATTTTTTTTAATTTGTGAGATGAACAAATTTATATTTTGAATAGAGGACATATATTGTTTCAATTGTATACATTTTTAATATAAAAGAGATTTATAAGACATATTAAATATCAATAGCATCTAAAGAGACAAAAGGCAAGATTGATACGATGAATTCAAATCATGATTTAAATTAGAAAATTACTTACGTGGTCTCTTTAGATGCGACGCTCGATGCGATGTTTCCTATATCTTCATCTTCAGTGGATGTCTCTGGACTATCTTCTACATCGCTATCGAATATTGGTGATCTAGTAGGAATAGACTTCTCATCAACAATATCACTGGGAACGCTACTCGCACGTGTCAGCTTCATTAGATTCAACTTTGTCTCTACGGTCATCGTTACGCTGCCTTTATAAGTAATATTTAAATCAAACCAGACTCCCCGTTCGTCAAGTGCGGGTTTAGAGACTTTATGAATCATCGGAGCGTCATGTCCGATTACTACTTCTGTCACGAGGAGACTCTCCATGAAGTATGGAAGTTTTATGTTAGAGAGTTTACGTTGTATTCTATCTTGAATAAGATTGATCGCTTCTGGACAACTATGCATATCGAACAATATCCGTCCCAAAAGACAATTTACCCAAAGGACGTCGCTCTCTCTTGGAGAATCCTCAGGATCCGTCTGAAAGGTAATCGTTTGATTAAAAAATTGTAAGGATTCTAAAATTAACTTGATCATCACATTGCTTACGTTCAGGTACTTGTTCATACAGGTACTGTAAGTGACTTCGGGAGACGCCTCTAGTGACTTCGTTTCTGCCACATCCAATTGTGCAGAGATTGTATTCGCGCAGGATACAGAATCATTTATGGAACAAATTGAAGGTCGTTTTTTCGAAGGAGACGTCGCTGATATCAATCTACGAAACCTGAAAAAGCCTTCATTAAGATATGCTAATAAAGCAAGCAAAACTCTAAGTTATACTTTGATAATTAGAAAGTTTAATTAGAATCTTTATTATATTTAAATTGATTTGAGAGAGGCATTTTAGAAGAGATGTTACCAGTCTTCCTTCTCTCGGTCGGCGCGTGCAAACATATAAAGTTTGCACTTGGTAATCTCTTCGTTGTCGCGGCAATCCTCGTAAATACTCCTGATGGATTTGGATTGTGAAAAGTCATCATCATCTTCATCATCGTCGATCTTAAACTCATCCTCCTCATTATCCTTAAAATATTCCAATCTGGAATCTTCATCCTCACTTTTTGTTTCTTCGCCGAAGGTACTTTCATCCATTTCCTGATTGACTCCATCTACTTGGATAATTTTCTTTTCATCCTCGAGGGTTTCCTTCCCGAGGTCCGTCCAGTCGTTCAGACTCGTGCTATCTATTAGTGCTCCTTGGTCCATCGTGATACAAATAGGATATTTCTTGCTCCATCTCCTGCACACAAAACATATTTTTATTTTATTTGTGTATGCTATAAAAATATGAAATAATTATGATGTGATCATACCTTCTCCGAGTGAGTCCTTCTGGTAGCAATTCTATTTTTGCACCATTAAGATTGTACTCGCGTTTTCTGGTAAATTTGTATTTTCGTTTTTGCTCATCCCACACTGCTCTCTTTGGTACTTTCATTCTAGTCTCCATAACACGCAGCACTCCACCTTCTAGACTGAAGAAAACCGACTTTGTACGTGCTACATGATAATTGTGAGGATCGTACGTATATGGCAACTCGTTTAACCATCCTTCATATCTTTCTTGGACTGCATGTTCCTCTGCTGCCGGTATTTCTAGTACTGGAACTACTACATGTGCAGGTTTCTTATCTAATGGCGTCTGTAAAATTTCCTTGATTCTCTGCACCAGCTTGTACATCACTATTGTGACGAAGACTCCTATAAAAAAGCCAACCAAGTGGGCAGGCAATGGAATGAGATAGCAGAAAGCAAGCACAAGAACCAGCAGCGTAGCTAACTGTTTTGTCAACTGTTGAAAGACATAATCTTTTATACGGGAGAAGAACGTGCTAAATTTTACTTCTTTCATTTGTACGTATCCATCTAACTGATTAAAAAAATTGCGACGGCATGTGGCATCATTTTCCTTATCCTCGGCACGAAAATCATCTTGTGATTCAAAAGGAAGTGGCTCGGGAACAAGGTCAGAGAACTCAGCAGCTTCCACGCCACTTTCCACACTGTCGTCTTGAGAGTTTTCTTTTCTCGTTTTCAGGCCAGTTCTAACCTGCGAAAAGCCTACAAATCTCGAGGTATTACCCTTATTACGAGTAAGTTCCTTTTCTTGCTTATCGTTGATGTTCTCATCGGTCGGCGTGATATCTCCCAGAGTCTCCTCGGAGTCGCTGACACTGGAATTATCCTTATTACGTCTCCTCTTCTTCCTGTCGCTCTTCATCTCAGAGATCTTCTCTTCAAAAGTTTTCGTAATCTTTCCCTTAATGTCAAACAGTACTTTCCATGGATCTGAAGGTGGAGAGGTACCTTCAAACGCGTTATCCTCAATGGAACGTCTCTCGGCATCATTTTCCAATCCTTGGCCATTTACGCTGCTCTTGGAGGGGCTTGACGGTATCCTCTTGTCGGACTCCGGCGTTAGACGCTTCTCGTCATCAGAGGAGCTTGGGTAGAGCTCTTCCAATTCGTCGTCATTGGCTCGGTAGTGGATTACTGGCACTGATGTGGTGATGGGTTTGCCTGCAGTAGAACAAATACGAGAGCTACTTAAGCACACTAAACAAAGATTATGCTTTCCATTTGATAACACAAGTTGACACAAGTGTCTCTCTGAATGTCAAGAAGGATAGAACGACGTTTGTGTCGACTTGTATCATCAAATGGAAAACATCCATAATTATCCTCCATGGGTTTTTCACACTTGTATATTTTATACACTTGTATATTTTATATATTTGCATATTATCAAGAAATATAAATATCAAGAACATATTTTTTCAATCTTTTCCTACCTTTTATCATTCCCAGGGTGATCTTCCCTGGACTGTATTTGCTACCCATCGTTACTCGCTTCGAGCAACAGTGACCGTCGTATCAGGAGCTTAACGATATTAACATTGGTGCTCCGATCTAGACGAGAGATAACAGAATCTTGATCGTTTCACAAAACGATCGTCCAAAGCAGCGGTGTCATGTTAAACGATTAAGTTTGCGTCACGATGCATCCGGGCACTATTGTTCTTATAACAATTAATAATAATAACAATAATTAACGTTTCGACACTTAACACATCTGACATTTTCCAAGGACTCAACAACGCTCGCGCGCTTCGCGCTGCAGCTTCAAAACCAATACGCAACGGTCAACTACGGGTCTGTTCTGTACTATACACAAAAAGTTCAGTACATCAGTACAGTGCAGTATGTGGAACGAACGTAATGGTACACATGCGATAAACCCACCAATTGGCGTGAAACTCATACAAGGGCTGTGCGGACTCGCTTTAAATCGCTATTGGAAGCAGGAGCAGGAGCCATTAATTGAGAAGAAGAAGTAGAGGAGAAGCTTTAATTCGCTTATCACGAATATTTCGTAACCTACGCTAGAGATCACTACAGATATAATCTGATCATCTCGAAGGGTTGTATCGGCACGGTTCGAATTTTTTCTACACTGCCGAGATCCAGGTATTTTCAACTGTTTTTGCTACGATTTGCTACTGCGAGTAGTATGTAGATATTTAATTTTGTGCCTATCAAATCTGAGCACATAACTTAATATACTAAATTTTGTATAACAGTCTAATGCCCGTTTCCACCAATGTAGATTAACTTTAATCTCGGTTCAACTTACTCTTCGTCTTTTTCTAATTCTAAATATTAAAAAAGACAAAGAATAAGTTGAACCAAGATTAAAGTTAATCTACATTGGTGGAAATAGGCATCAGAAATGATTGAAAAATGGCTTTTAATGATCATTTTGATATCATAATGACTTGTTCTGTTTCGGCAATAAACTCCATGTCTATTATCTATGAATGTTGAAAGTGCTCTTTGTACTCATAGCCTTTATCGTTGCCTCTTGCTTGTTTTCTTGGTGTATGTTGTGACCCCAGCTAATGACAAATCTGACTTATATTAGTTTCAGAATAGTACAGACGGATTCATTCATGAATAGCATAGGCGAGGCATGCAACGATCTGAAGCAACAATACGACGTCTGTTTTCACACGTGGTTCTCCGAGAAATTCTTGAAAGGTGATACGAGTGACAACACATGCTCGCATTTATTCAAAATGTATCAACAGTGTGTCAAGGTAATTAAAACGGAATTGTATCTTTAGGAAATCTGCAAGTGTATAACGCATGAAAGGAGGAGAGAGAGCGAGGGGGTAAAAAGAACAAGGGTGCAACATGGAGGATTGCAGTGAGTTGAAACAGAAGTACGACGCCTGTTTCAACAGTTGGTTCTCTGAAAAATTTTTAAAAGGGGATACCAATGATTCAATGTGCGCTCCTTTGCTTAAAGTCTATAAAGATTGCGTAGCGGTAAGTCTTAAGAAGCTCTCCCTTCTCATAGGTCAGATTACAATTATTCCAAGAAATATTTTCTTAACATTTTTTAACAAAGAGCTAATGATGTCAATAATTCTGCGCTCTCGTGTTTTAGAAAGCCATGAAGGAGCACCATATTGAATTAAAAGAGATGGAGACAAATTATTTGGAAACCGAAAAAGAAAAAAAGCCACACAGTTGACAAAAAGACGTTCGCATATTCATATTTCCTACATAGCTTTCTTACGGATCATCGGCGATACAAACAGTGCAACTTTGTCATTCCTATTTTTTATTATGAAATAATTATTAACAAAGGTTAATTGATCTTATCTTAATTAATAGTTTGTTATGAACTAGTCACTGTATTACTGCCAAATATTCACACATTTGTAACATTACATAGAAATGTTGTATTAAGAGAGGAAACTGTATGTACATATAATGCATCTGTGTACTGTGTAATGTATATACATATATGTATGTTATGCTTAACAGCAAATTTAATTAGTTGTGCAATTTTATCAACTTTTATAATTTTGTTTTTTTTTTAAGAATTACATTTTATAGAGACAAAACTAAACAGAAGAATAACACCAATTGTAAATTAAATAGTCACTGTGCAACATGGAAATAAATAATTTAGAAATGAAGCTGATAAATAAAAATTTTCCCTTTGTATTTTTTCATTCAAAGAAAGAAAAAGATGATATATTTATGCAAAGAAAAAAGCAAAATAAATGTATTTAACGATGACAATAAATTGTTATCTATTTTCGTGTATCATTCAAGTTTTAATATTATGTAATATTAAAAAGTAGCATATGTATCACTTTAAAATATATTTATAATATTAGAAAGTTGTATAACTATTAATTCACTTGAATGCTCATCCTCTTGTAATTGTAAATATAATAATTTTAAAGAAGATGTACACATTCATTTCGAGAAGCGATACATGTAAAAAATAACGACAAAAATGTGTTTGAATTCTGTAGCATTTATTAATCACTTTTAGATTCATCTTCAGATGAAGATGGAGTACTCAGTGCAGGTTCCTCCTCATCGCTTTCATCAGATTGATCTCGTTTCATCTTTTTGGGTGCTTTTTTTCCAGTATCTTCCGTTGGCCTCTTTTCAGTTTTTTTCTTCTTATTCTTCTCCACCTCACTTTCATTATCGGATTTTTCCTTTGCAGATTTCTTACTCTCATCGCTGCTACTATCGTCATCACTAATATACTCTTTGCTCTTGAAACCGGAACCAGACATTTGCTTGCTGGGCGAGTCTTTTTTCGTTTCCTTCTTGTTCTCTATCTTCTTTTCTTTAGTTTTTTCTTTACCGCCTCCGCTCGTTTGATATTCTTTCATCGACGCCGTATAATCTTTTTTAGCCTTGGCTGCCTTCGCTTCCCATTCAGACTTGTCTTTGAGCTCTCGCCACATCTCACCTCCCTTTTTCGCGATATCCGTTATAGACAGTCCTGGATTGTCCGCCTTGATACTATCGCGTGCACTATTCAGCCACAACATGAACGCTGATGGAGGTCTCTTTGGCTTATTCTCGTCCCTCTCCTTCTTCGATTTCCTCTGCTTTCGCGGCTTCTCCGATATAGTTTTTGCTGACTTCGATTTCTTTTCTTTCTTTTCTTTCTTCTCTTTATCTTTCTTCTCCTTTTTGTGACTAGCCGCAGAGGCATCTGAATTCTCGCTATCAGAGCTATTAGGATTACTGTCATATTCCTCTGCAACATCGCTCTCGACTTGATTAGGATTGAAGTCCTCATCGGTTGAGCCTTCCTCCTCAGAATCTTGATTCTCCTCGCCATCGCGTTCCTGCGCCTCTGCCTTGACTCGTGCCAGATAAGCGTCCGGTTCGTCCTCTTGATCGCTATCACCAAAGTCTTGGTCGTAATTGGGCTTGTCACTTTTACCGCGGTTCTTAACTCGCAATTTCTTGGCCGTAATGAAGTCGAATAATTTACCATATTCCTCTTTTTCAATACTACTGAATGTGTGTACCACACCGCTCGTAAGTTCGATTTCAAAATCAAATGACCTAGTCGATCCGCCGCCGCGCGCAAAGTTTAATGAAGCTATCTCTTCGAAACGAATATGTATTGGAGGTTTGTGTACATAAATAAAACCTCGCTCGAGTGGATATAGATATCCTGCCGCAGCTTTGAAAGAACAGCTAATAGCAGGTGTCCCGGTATGACCAGTGAAACGTCCTGGGCCAGTTAACTTACGATTGATAATTACCTTCATTACCTATAAACAAATAATTTCGCATTAAAATAAAAATATGGAAACTAGAAAGCATTTTTTTTACTTACCTTGCCCAGCACTTCAAATGTAGGTCCCGATAACTCTTTAGTCAGTTTATCTTCGTACTTTTCCTTTAATTCCTTTTCGGTAAATGGTAACTCGATAGAAGTCTCTTCTTCTTGATTGAACAGGAGTACCAGATAATGATATCGCGTTTGACCTTGTTTTATAGGAGGATCCAAGCTCACGACAAAGAACATTTGACGATTATCCTTGTGCGGAAGTAAAAAGAGTCTCAATACAGTGGACATAGGTATTTTGTAGTCAAAGGTTTTGCCGTGCAATTGAAAGAAGGTCTGGAAGATCTTAATGTCATAACGACCACGTGGTGTTAAACAGTGAATCTCTCTGAATATGGCAATCGCGTCGCCGCTTACACTGATCACTGATGCCTTATCCATCACCTATTGTAATTGAGAAATGTGTGAATTACTCCTCTGTTTTTAACAACAGTCTACAAATATATTCGCGCGCTCATCTATCGTTAAAATTTTTGCTCACCTGTTGATGGAATGCCTCGACAGGATCTTGATCAACACTGTCACTAACAGGAATGTGAAATCTCATTTCCATCAGGCTGACTGGAGCGTCATCATTTTGATGAAATTCCAATGTTACTTCATTCTTTCCAGTGTTACATTGTGACACATCATACAGAGGTATCTCGAAAGCAGTATGATGACCAACATCAAAACTCAAGACAGATCCATTAAACCTTGCAGTACCCCAGTTCCAGCCTTTCAAACTCAGCTCCTTTTCCAACATATCTTTCTTGTAATTAGCAGAAAAGAACTTGGCAATCTTTTCTTGTTCAGATTCTTTGAAGCCTTTGAAGCGATGCAAAGTACCATTTTTTAGAAAGATACGGAGACCCCAGGTTCCAATAAATTTTTGGTAGTTTACCATCTCCATATCAGAAGCTGAGATCTGTTCGACTTTTCCAGTTTTCTGATTCTTGAAGATCAAGTGCTGATCAGTCAACTTCAACCTGCCTGGAGTCTGTAAAACAATTATTATTATTAATGAGACGATAATAAATATATATTATTTAAATCAATTTGAAAAAATAATCTTATTTTCGGTTAAAGCAGATCTTGATGCTTAATAATATTTATATGTAAATTTTTGCAATTTTACATTTTAACTAAAGCATTAATATCTCGAATTAGATTGATCGTCAATTTTATAATGATGCTAATAAGCATCTTAAAAATCTACAAAAATTAATATTTTGGCTTCAGTTTGTGTTTCAAATCTGACTAACCAAATTGATGCACAATTTATAAAATTGAAAAATGCAAAATGTTATATTTGCAAAAATGTATATACATAAATATTATTAAGCATCGAGATTAACTTTGGGTTAGACCAAAGGTTAGACCAAATTAGGATTGTTTCTTTTCATTATTTACTTTTATCGATCTAATTTCTATTCATAAATGTATATATTGTTAATTTCCCTCCTTAATTAGCTCGTAATGCTCGTATTATTGATTATTTTTTTCCTTATAAAGAAAATATAAAATCAATCATTTATGTATCTTTAGTGACCTTAAAATCGGAACTGATTAATTATTGCTAAATTTCATGCAATTAGAAAACAGGTTACCGTTATGTTGAGCTTAAAACGGATAAAAAAAATGTTTAGCTCGTGACAAGAATCAATTCCGCGATAGTGTTTAACTGTTTTGAAATTAATTAAGAGCTCTTACCATCGCGCCCTTAACCTCGGCGAAGATGTCCGGATACTCGAGGAAATCCATCCTGAATAAGTACCCAAGATCCTTATTCGATTAGTCTAACAAGAATATTGTTTTAGAAGATTGCGTAAACAACTTTCCGAATGACAAGTAAAAATAAATAGGACATGTGTTATTTTCGACGAAATTACAATAGAAAAAATACAGTAAGAGGTAAAGACCGGTAAACTCATAAACCTTACAGGAAAAATGGCGGGTAGAGCAGCACGAAACAACGCTGCCAATTGATTTGTTGTCTAATAGAGATTAAAATTGATGCTTGGTATTCGTCAATTTTGATCACATGACCTGTTTTGATGCTCGAATCAAGCGTCGAACGTCAACATGAAAATGCACTTTTGTCTGACCGAATTAACCGCCAAGTTCAAAGATAGAAGATAAGATTAAAGAGATAAGGTTTAAGAGACAAGATTAAAGAGAGAAAATAATAAATTTTAAGTTTATCATATATAAATAAAATAAGATGTTTTCAGATTAGGATACTTAACTGCTTAAAATAAAACGAGCTATACATACTAGTAGAAATTGTTTTTTCCATTTTTATGAAAGTTAACATAAATCTCGTTTTAACATGTTACTTTTTTTTAATTTTAAAAATTAAAAAAAGATAAAGAGTAAATTTAAACCAAGATTAAAGTTAATCTAGATTGATAAAATGGACCTTGGAAAAGTAAATATATGCATCATTTTTTATAATTAAAGATTCGAGTTTTTTAAATTCTAAAATTGTATTCACCATTCGACCAGTTTTCGTTCATTTACTCAAATAACTTCCGTAAATGTTAATTTCTTCTATCATATAAGCAGATTAATTACTACATTGTTAAAAGGATGATAAGAGTAAATATAATAACAAAACAACAAAATATCATTTTTAATGCTATTTCTTATGATTGCTTCTTATTTTTTATGATAATTTCTTATAATAACTTCATTACGATTAAACGCCATTCTATTATCACATTTCATAAAGATCAATTGTAACTTACAATCTGATCTCCGTCGTCATATCTTTCAGTCTTTGTTCAATACAAGCTATTAAATAATAATAATAAATGTAAGTTACTGTCATCAGCTCCCCAACATATTTAACCAATCATCATTTAAGATTATAGGTAAATTGTTTTCATTGTTAAGAATATTTTCCAATAGTGTCTCTATATCGCTGTTCGAAGTATTCTCTGTAGACTGGTTTGTTGTATCTAAGTTAATTGTAGTATCTAGGACAGCTAATGTGTTCATAGCTTTCGATAGTGTCTCTGCACCAACATCTGTTTTTACCTCATTCACTGTTGCATCCAATTGCAATTTACTGTTTTCATTATGTTCGTTTGTGGTACTGTACTGCTGACTTAAACCAAACTTTGTACACCTATTATTAGATATACCGAAATTCTTGGAAGTATCCATTACGTTTGTATTCATGAACGAATTATGTTCCTGTAGTTCTCTATTATCACAATTGTTATCAATATTAGAACAAATCTTAAGATTAATATTAGTCTTTTCGATGTTAATAATCTTGGGCAGTTTTCTAACACCTACGATCCGTTTGTTCATAATGTTTATGCTTTCTTTAGAGTTAATGCCTGCTAATTCAAGTGGTTCAAATAGTGATGATTTATTAGAATCAGTAGATTCCTTTGTTGAGGTAATGAATTCACATTCAGGCACTGTTTCAATTTTATCTTTCATTGTAGGACATGATGAATATTCAGCACTTGTTATCTCGTTCAATTCTTTGGTAAGTTCGCTTCCAGGAGTTACAGGTGGTGTATAAAGTGTAAGTTCCATTGGTACAGGAATTTCCTCTTTAGCGAAACTTGATTCCTCCCAGTTGCAGGAGAAAGCTTCTCTAGGAAAGAATGTCAATTCCTCGTAACCAACCGGCCAGCTGCACTAAAATACAAAACAGAATTGTGGGCATAGATGTCAAGTCTATATAATCTATAGTTATGCTTTTTGCTTCCTGTTTCTTGCTTTTTACCTCTTATCCTGTTTCTTCGCTTTTTGTCGCTTGATATAAAATTTGATGAACATCGGAAGAGACAAGAAACACGTCATATAAAATGGTCACAAAAAAGGAAAAAGAGATGAAAAGCAAGAAACAGGAAGCAAAGAGCATATTGTAGGTTAGTGGTATTTTCCAACAAGAGACACAGTATAACACAAGAATCATTTCATCTTTGGGTGCGTTCCGAATGTATGCATGAGGTACATAATGTATCATTTTATTATCTTTCTTTATTATTAGATGAACAATAGAGACAAATGTTGCATAATACGCTTCATGTATTACTCTGAATGCACCCTTTGCTTAACATTGACAAATAAGAACAATAAGAATGTAATAATTCACTGTGTTACACTATTGCTGCATTCTACTAAACGCTCGCAATGCTCGCAAGCATTGTTTGTCTTTGTTTAACAAATAATAAATGGCAAAGATGAAATAGTTCCACAAATGTGAGCGTTCAGTACAACGCAGCTTATATGTCATCTGTGTTTCTTACTGGAAAATATTCTGGATTTTAAGGAAATAAACAGAAAAGGAACAAGAAGATTGTTTACTTCTTCCGCCTCACAGCACCACACCGCTTCTTCTAGATTAATCTGAAATGCCTTGATTCTTCTCCTAACACCATTCTTTTTACACACTGGACAGAGTTTCTCCATTCTGTAATATGATCGTAACAATTAATTTATTTCAAAATAAAGCGAGCACTCGGTAGAGCACGTAATTTCGCTGTATTCGGCAGCTTCGCACACAAAAACTCCGCGATTATTGACAAGATAAACGTACGTTCTGTGACTAATTATGCGTGTTTAATAAAATACCTCGGATAATTAAGCGTTACGACGCTTAATTATATGCAGTTCTCGTCAACACATGTTTTTTAAACACTGAACATAAATGACCTACGAATGCCTACGAACTGCCGGCATCTCTCTCTCTCTCTCTCTCTCTCTCTCTCTCTCTCTCTCGAAGACAATAGTATAGGAAAATTAAAATCACTTTAGCGAAGAATGAAACCTTACTCGAAAGATAATTCGAGTTGTCGGTAATGAAATTCGAGACGCGCTTTGGGGCGACTGTTACCAACAATTGAGTTAAGGGATGCTGGAGTCTTCTTTTGTACCGATAAAGCGTTTATGTAAAATGCAATATTCTACGAACTAGTTGCACAGAAAAAAAATTCCTTCTCCACGATTGAAATATTCGTGCTAATGTACCTGTTCCTGGTGTGTTTTGTGTCCAAAGCTGAGAAAAATAATAAATTACAGATTTCTGTATCCATATGCTATCCAAACATATGCTCACCAAAAATTTTTAAATAACCATATATATATTTATATTAAATATAATTTTATGGGGCCCCCTTCTCTCATTATTAATATTATATTCCAAAACAGAAAAAGAAAGTCAAAATAATAACAATAAATCAATTTGATGTCAATATTGATTGATTCAATACGATTCTTAAATAATACGCTTGATCCACAATTTTTCATTTTCGTCAGAATATCTATTAAATTCCATGAATAATTGTTCGAAAGGTTGATTTTTTAAAGTACATTACAAAAAAATAGGCTCCATACAGCACAGATTTTGCAGCAATATTGTAAAAGCTCTGCAATGTTGCTGCATGCAACGTGTAATGTTACAGCAGTGTTGCTGCAACTTTTGTGCTGTAGGGGTCATTTCTTTTTCGTCATTTTAAGAAAGTTAAATTGTTAAAAAAGTTTGAAAGTTTTATTATTTTTTAATTGGATATATTTTTTCAATCTCTCGTTAAGTTTGACATTTAAATCTCTTTAATTAATATACATGCAGTTGTTATTCCCCATACAGCACAGAAGATTGAAGCAATATTGTTGCAATGTCGCAATATTGCAAATTGCAATGTAATATATTGCAGAGATATTACAGCAATATAAATTAACAATATGCCTGCAAAATGTTAGTAATATGCCTGTAATATGCATGTAATATTCCAGAAACATTGCAAAACTGCAATAATTCTATAATTGTTACAATAATAATAATATAAAAATATAATTTTGTACAATATTTATGTAGTACAGTCTTTTAATTTAACAGCCGTTTTATGATATAATAATTTATATAATCCATTTTTATATTTAAATAAAAAATTTATATTAATCTATTATTTGACGGCTATTTCATTAGCTAAGTTTTATATTTATTTTAAAAGTGAAATCAAAAGATTGTATAATATCAAGTTTGGATACAACCAACACATCGTTATCGGATAAGACGATAAGCAATTAAGATGCTGAAAACGATTTATCGAAATATTAATTATGTGATCGATGATGTAAACGTAGGAATAAACCAGCGCCTGAATTTTATTGATTCATACCGTTATTTTTTAATCGATTTCAATTGACTCGGAGTGACTTCGAATTAAAAAGAATCACTGCGATTAATTAAATCCATGATTAACTTACCAAGTATCTGTATTATTATGCTAATGTGGATAATATTTGTTCGGGGTACACACATACATGCTTTAATTATCCTTGTGAATAAATATATTCTTCAGAATTAATATTGCATTTATTGGAATATTTTTAAAAAATATTAAAGTTTTATTATAAAAAATTGCTTTTGGAAAGCACATATTATTAGAAATGCGATTTGTAGAAAAATTAATATTAGTGAGATAAATGTACAGAAAATAGTTTTCATTTTAGAGTCTTCGTAAAAAAGTTATCCAAATAAATTACATTACAATATTGCTGGAACGTTTCGTTGCAATATAACAAAAAGCGGACATCTTAACATTGTTGGAATCTTGCAGCAATGATTCAGCAACGTTTCGCAACCACCATACAATATTGCAATATTTCTGCAATCTTTCAGTGCTGTATGGATCTCTTAGTAATAAAAAAGATTTGCTATCGAAGTAAAATAAAAATTCAGCAGAAATTATATAAACAATTAAATACTAAAGCAAATCGAAATAATAATAGACAGATCAATCGCAGCATACTTGATAAACTTGCGAATCTGATCCGCTGTCAAAAATACTGTCTCTTATAAAAAATTTTATATATATCATTTTTCTTATTTATTTTTTTATTGTAAACAATGCTTGGCTAGCTTATGAATTACATTCCTTCACGTGTACTATTACGAAGTTTACTATAACAAAAACGATAACTCTATTTAATTTACTTTTGTGATAAGATAAAGTAAAATTATTTGAGATAATCTGAGCTAGATTAATTTGAAATACGCAAAAATTATATTTAATAAATTTAATATATAAGAATAAGAAACCCTCAATTAATTGACTCGGATGAATAAAAATGGAAAGGTTTGAAGCCACTCAAGTCGGACACCAGTTAATATTGTGTATAAAATCTTTAATGTGGTATGCCATACGTTTCGATCCGTGGATTGGAGTCTTATCAATAGCTTTTAATCGTTATAAATCTATAATGATTATCATGATAGATTTATAACGATTAAAAGCTATCGATAAGGATCCAATTCACGGATCGAAACGTATGGCATACCACATTAAAGATTTCATACACAATATTAACTGGTGTCCGACTTGAGTGGCTTCAAACCTTTCCATTTTTAATATATAATGTATATAGAATATAATGCAGTTGTGCGCATTTGCACGACAGCAACCTTTTAAAAGTATTCCTGGACTTGTTGATCCCCGGAATACCGATGAAAGTGACTTTCTTCAAACTTTCTCGCTTCTAACAGCATCATACGTTTCGTACACCGAGAACAGTTTTCAGTTTTCTATCGTCTGTCGTGGGATTCAGATGTATATTGTGTCTCCCGATAATCCATTAACGATAGTTATACAAAAATAATAAATTAAAAATAGTCGTTACATTACAAATTATTACATAATTATTAAGCACGTAACTATTAAATAAATACAGAAACAAAAAGAGTTTTTAGAAAAATGGGAATCTTTGAACGATGGATACTGGAGATTTCGAATTCTCCGAAAGAAGTGAGATATAATAAAATTAATGCATATAGAAGAAAGTATCTGTGGAGTATAAAGTCGATGAGAACGCTGATAAAAAATATATTTCCCATCGCAGGCGCAGGCGATAGCGACCAACGTATTGTCTCAAGCGCATCATGTGTCTAGAACGAAACGAGGACAAGCGATCGGCTCCGTTCGAGGATTTCGTGGATGTACAATTTGGATGACGGGACTTTCTGGTGCCGGAAAGACTTCCATCTCTTTTCAACTTGAGGAATATCTCGTTTCTCAGGTACGCGTTACAGCGTAATCGCTTATAACTTGTTGCTCCACTTTCACGGTATTTTATTCGATGTTATTTCTGGAGCAGGGAATTCCCGCGTACAGCTTGGATGGTGACAACTTGCGCACCGGTTTGAATCGTAATCTCGGCTTCAGCAAAGAGGATCGCGAGGAGAATGTGCGTCGCGTTGCTGAGGTCGCGAGGCTCTTCGCAGACGCCGGAATCATTGCCCTCTGCAGCTTCGTCTCGCCGTTCGCGATGGACAGAGAAATGGCACGCCAAATTCACGAGAACGCCAATCTGCCCTTCTTCGAAATATTCATCGACGCATCCCTCCAGGTCTGCGAGACCCGTGACGTCAAAGGCCTCTATAAGAAAGCACGTCAGGGTATCATTAAAGGTTTCACCGGTATCGATCAAAATTATGATGTACCCACCGAACCCGATCTCACCGTCAACACGGAGAACACGACCGTTCAACAATCCACCGATATCGTCATCAACTTTCTCCAAAGCAAACAAATTATACCAAAGATGTGCGAACTTAAGCAACCCTGTCTGGAATTATTCGTGAAAGAGGATAGATTGGATGATATCCGGAAAGAAATGAAGGCTCTTCCTATTGTGGAAATCGGAGAATTAGATGTGCAATGGTTACAAGTTCTCGCTGAAGGATGGGCGGCGCCTTTAAAAGGATTTATGAGGGAAAACGAGTATCTTCAAGTAAGTTTAAGTTTAATTCCATGTGTCAAACGTAAAAATATTGTTGTTTTTAATAGGTGCAGCATTTTAACTGTCTATACGAAAACGGCGTTTCGATCAACCAATCGATTCCTATCGTTCTTGCCGTGAGTACTTCCGACAAAGAGCGCTGTTTCGATGCGACCGCGCTTGTACTTAGATATCAGGATAAGGATCTTGCCGTCTTACACAATCCGGAATTTTATTTCCACCGCAAGGAAGAACGTTGCTGCCGCCAATTCGGCACAAATAATCCCAGGCATCCTTATATCAGATTGATCCAAGACTCTGGTGACTGGTTGGTCGGCGGGGATTTGGAAGTACTCGAAAGAATTAGATGGAATGACGGGCTGGATCATTACAGGCTGACGCCTAACGAGATCAGGACTAAGTGTCGAGAGATTGGCGCCGATGCGGTTTTTGCCTTCCAATTACGAAATCCGATACACAACGGACACGCGTTGCTTATGCAGGTTGATACTTACGTTACGAAATAACAAAACTTTGCAAACGGCAATACGCGTTCGTTATTGCTATTGTATCTCGTTGTATCTCAGGATACCAGGCGACGTCTCGAAGAATACGGCTTCAAGAAACCAGTTCTTCTCCTTCATCCTTTAGGCGGGTGGACTAAAGACGACGATGTTCCCCTACCGGTCAGGATACGGCAACACCAGGCTATCCTCGAAGAAAACGTCTTGCATAAGGATACTATTCTCGCTATTTTTCCTAGCCCTATGTGTTATGCCGGTCCCACAGAGGTCAGTAAATTTCTTCCTAATATAACAATATATAATGTGCAATACAATATAATGTAAAATATGTAAAGACCGTTAATGGTCAATTTAAAATAAATGTTTAGCCATTTTATCATGATTTACATTTTTTTAGGTGCAATGGCATGCCAAAGCTCGTATGATCGCAGGAGCAAATTTCTACATTGTCGGACGAGATCCTGCTGGTATTCCTCATCCTGATAAATCCGCCACATCAGACGGCAATCTTTACGATGCTGCTCA